TGCTTTGTGCAGGTTCTTCGCCTACTCCGGTAAATCCTTTTCTTTGAGCAGAGTGTTGGACTTAACTTGGATGGCGGCGACTAAACGCTCACTCTCCCGGCGGAAGATGACAAAGTCAAGCGTGCAGTTGGCAGGAGCCATGATGAAAAGGAAAGACGCGCTGCCGCAGTGTGATCAGTACCCAGCTTTTGAGCTTTCTACAGAAAACGTTTGAGGTTTTACCGTACCTCGCTCTTGTTTGCTGTTGCAAGCTTTGACAGTCTGAGAGCTTGTGGAAGCTTGTCGTGCAGTTTCACAATCGCAAGTACAACACCAACGGCATCTGTGACCTCCGTAAAGTCCGCCACGGCTTGCTTCACGATTGTAGGGGGGCTTAAGCCACCTTCGCCCGAAGGCATGGGGCCATACAGGGCGGGTAAAGGGGACGCTGGGCTCCTATAGTTCTCTGCCACAGGCCACAACAGACCAAAAGCCTGTAGTTACGAAGATTAACTAGTTGCTTCCGCCTTTTGTGCTTGCGTCTGGTGTTGAACCAGGATTGAAAATGGATTTGGTTTCATTTTATTTTAATCTCTTCTTTTTGACGTGGCTTTCTCCTTTTCGTGTTTCGAGAGAACGTCAGTCTTGATTTCTCTATTTCTGCGTTTTGAGGCCCCGAAAGCGTTCTCGTGTGGCGTTCTTTTTCTCGAGCGGTGTGGAAAAGACGAGAAGACTACCTGGGTTGAACTCCACACGACTCAGAGAGTGGCAGGCCATTCTGCTGCCAGCAATGACACTATTGAGGCGACGCCTTGCACCAACCACCTTTGTACGTCGGCACATCCGCGAGCCTTCTCGCTTTCCGTTAAACTGCGTGAGCGGCGGCAGTTTCCGGCAGGTCGGTTAGAAGCGCATGGGTAAGCGATTGTAGGAGGGAAGTGTGCATTTGCGCGGGAAACATGAGCACTCCTGGCCTTTATTGCGAGGGTCCAGAAGCGCGGTGAAGGCTCGAGCTTCCGCCAAATTCACTGAGTGAGGGCTGCTGGCTGGCGCGGCGCGTACCTCTGCTAGCTGCTAGCTGAGCATCCGACGGTCGCCAGGGACACAGCTCGTCCAGTTCATGGTGTGACCTCAGAACGCTCGAAAAGAGCCTGCTGGGAACCCCACAGTGCTCATCCCTCTCCACTCCTTGTCGTTCGCTCCCTCTGCCCTAGGCCACGAGAACCCTCGATGGATACTGGCGGGTTGGCAAGAGTCGAAGACAATGAATAAGGTCGCCAAGCACGCAGAGTGTGGCTGCTGCAGGTGAGAGCTTTTGCATTTGAGACAATATCTGCTTTATGACATTGGTCTCGGGTGTTTTGCGCCGAGTGTGGAAGAGGCCGTACGCCACACGCTGGACTGGGGCCGGCGACAGCAGGAGGCTAGTATGGCGAGCCGAGCCAGCCAACCGCGCTGCACCCGCGATACCGCCAGAGAAGTGGTGCAGCTTGTGGGGCCATAACATTTGGGCGAGCAAACGATTTGCTCAGCTTCCATGGGGTCATATTTGCCGCCGGCACCAGTGCACAAAACCTGATGTCGGAGCGCCCGGCGGGCGTTTAGGCTCTGGGCTGCCGTTACATCGAACAAATTGAGAAGATATTTTTCCGTTTTACGTTTGTGTGGAAGCTGTTGAAACAATGCGCCAGAGTTCGCGAGTAGCGCATTCGCGCTCTTTTTCGCGCCGTCCGCAAGCATGGCGTTCCGCGCTAGACACTGTTGCGGAGCCTAAAGTCGAGCACTTAGCGCCAGATTTGCTGCTGTTGCCGTTGGATGAGCGCGACGGTAAAGCAATGATGGAAGTGCTGTCTTGTTTGGACTTATGCTTGAGAATTCGACATTTCGAAAGCTCCAAATCACGTACGGCGGGCCTGAGAGCTGTTAAGTTAGGAAGGGCGCCGGAAGCGAAGTTGTCTCTCCTCACCAAAGCCTAATGCGGATCGCCGAGAAGCGTTGCCATTGCTGCTAGCCCTACAGGCGAGCCTAGGATTCGGGGACCGCCAGCCTAACAGATGCAACACGGTCAACAAGATGCCACTGCATGTAGTGCTAGAGCAGTGCAAGTCTAGTTGATCGAGAAGCTTCCACTATTACCACCACTACTACTACTACTACTACTACTACTACTACTTCTACTACTACTACTACTCCTGCTGCTGCTGCTGCTGCTACTACTACTACTACTACTACTACTACTACTACGGCTACAACGACGTACGACTAGCATTATTGCCACTATTGCACCTGCTATTGCTACTGTGTCTACTCATACTGTTATATAATTTCCTGATTGAATCTTTAAATCCATGCTTGCTTTTGAGTCGATATTGGCTCTTCCTTAAAACGGCCACTAGAAGATATTATGTTCGTGCTTGTTTTGGTCACCGATTTCGATTTGTTTTTGCTCCCAAACCATTTATTATGTGTTGATCTTGTTCGGTTTTGTTTTGATTCCATCAGCCGTTGCGGCTCGTTGGAAGTTGCAATGTGGGTTGGCAGTTAGGCAGTCAGTGCGTGCACGTGGACTGAGAAAGGACACTTGTAGAACTTGTGTCTGTCTGAATCCAATGTTGCAGCTGGTCCAAACTTGGTCATGCATGCTCTTGGTGCTGCATTGCTAACAGCTGGGCCCCCAGCATGAAGAGCGCAAGATGTAGGGAGTATTTAGGCCATTGCGACCATGACGTGGGTTTGGGTTTGGTTTTTCAACTTACGGTGGGTTAACAATAACAGGCGGCACGAAGCCTCAAGATGTGTCCGGCCCGACCCGGTTTTTCTATTTGTCAGCCCACGTAATGAAGTAATGAAACTCGGCGCGCTCCCCCAGGTTCTCTCCCACGCAGATGATGAGGTCGGATTTGGTTGGTGTTGGCATTTGGAGTTCTTGCGAACTGGTTTGGTGTTTCATTTAGTAGACCGCCCACGGTATCCATGACCAGCCAGAAAGCATGCGGCATAACGCAGCGCCCTCCACACTAATGCCTCTCGGGTTAAATCAGTGTGGCAGGGTCTGTCGTTGATTGCCCTTGGACGTGTTGTGCAGTCCGCAAAGCTCTTAGAGGTCGTTAACATGATGGAAGGTTTCGCATTTCTGCGACCCCGAGATCTTTCCACCCTGCGATGTGGGCGCTCGGATTGGCCACGATGCACCGGGGTTGTGGCATCTTGGCAGAGTTACGTTCAAGCGAGCAGCACGGGCGAAGCGTTTGGTCAGAGGGTGGTTTTCGATTTTCACTGGTTATGGCTAAAGCTCGACGCTTGACATATCAAACTTGGAACGTGCGTGCTTAGGACTACGAATGGTACTCGACTTGCAGTGAAAGCGAGCCTCGGCTGCGAGATTCAAAGTTGTCCGATGCCAGAAGTTGGAATAGGCTGAGAGCGGCGCTTTCACATTCGATTGAACCCTGAGTACATATTCCAGAACATATCGTCAACCGTCAACCGCGAAGTTTAACGTTGCTCCTTTCAGTCTTCGGGAGTCCTTCAATGAGGTTGCTTGCAAAAACCATGTAAAGAGCGTGCTCACGCTGGTTGCATTCCAGGAGCCGATCCAGCCGCTTCCTTCGAGTGAACGGGCCCGCGGGTGGGATAAGGGTTCTTGGTTGAGGCTTTCTTGCGTCTTTCGGGCTGAGTTCTCAGATTCATGATGTTAGTCATGCAAGATGCTGGATCGATCGCTTTCGATGTTCAGTGGCTTGACAATCGTCTAGAAGTGCTGTTCCTCCTGCTTCTGGCATCTCCAGCATCATGTGGTGCAGCAAGGGTCAGCAACATCCGGACATTCTCTGAATCGTTTCAATCATCGGGGCATTGAAGCTTTGAACGAAGACGATGATAATTTCGACACTTTTGGTCCTATCTTTTCTGTATCCAGCGCTTGTGACTTGAGGAGGCTTCCTCCAATTCCGCACAACCACGAGTTTCTGCTGCCAGAGGAGGTATGCCGGCGTCTGCTTGGGAACATGAGGCTGGTTTCCTGATCTTCCGGTTGCGCCAGGTACAGGCAGAGGACAAAGCCATCATCTCCCTTCAAGCAGGGCACGATGCCTCAATAGCCGTTTCCCTTGGCAGCCGCATACAGTGCGTCTTGGAACTGGAGCCCCGGCCGATTCAGACACGTGCAGGCCATTCAAAGGTTCCATGGTCAGCAGCTCGACCATGCTAGCTAGTGGTTGTGGCTTTTCAGTTCGGGCAGCCTCTCAGAGTTAAGCCCCTCACTATGTCCTGGGTCGAGCTGGTCGGCCCCCAGGAACGGCTCTTCGAGATTCGGTACTTTCCAGAGGCTTGGACCTAGGGACGGCGATTAGACTGATGTGGGGGAGTGGCGGCATTGATGTGTGGAAAGAAGTTGGGCTCCCTTCTCCCGAGATTCTGATGGGCTCGTTGAGCTTGAATCGTTATCCATGTACATATGGAAGTGTGCCCCGACCGGACTCCTAGTGTACCGTCCGTCCGTATCCGGCTGGCCAGGCTGTGGAGAACTTCCAGAGCAACTGGAGAAGCTTGGCTTCATTTGGCCCGCGCTCGAAGGTTCACTTGCTGAAGCCGATGTGAAAACCACTGCTACGGCGCTGGGCTTCTTCAGGCCACAACTTGAGCGGCATTGCTTGAACGTCCTAAGTTGCTTGTGCCCTTGCCCAGTAGCAGCTCAGGGACAACAGGTCTAGTAGTTCCGGTGTGCAGAAGCTGTGCATACTTTTTTGACACCCGGTGTGCCGGTGCTAGCAGGCAGGTGACATCTGTTGTGAACCGAGAAGCGTTGACTTGAGGACAGGCCCTTGAGATCGTCCGAGACCGCTGCGACTGTGAGGACGGGCCATGTCCGCAAGAGTGCCTGGACATGCAACCTACGATGAATTGTGGCTTCAGGGTGGGGAGCTGTTTCGTGTGTTCGCTCCATTTTCGCGCCACGCGCCCCCTAGTTCCTGCCAGGGTCCATAGTTGCACCTGGAAGTCCAAGGTTCGACTACGGAATCATGGTAGGATTCGGACTGCGCTTGAAGACGCACTTCACTTGGCTTCCCAAAGTTGTGGAGCTGGTGTTTCGGGTGCACCGCTGGCGCAATGTCAATCATCACGAAGCTTGGCTTGGATTATCATCTTCACCTTCTAGGTGACGCGGGATGACCGAATGGAATCACGTGTCTGCACACAGGAAGCGCATGCGCTGATGGGGTACTTCAGCCGCTCGGCGACATTTTTCTCCGAGCCGAGCCGTAGGCAATCCCCGTGGAAGCAGAGGCTCTCCATTCCGCAGTGCCCTCGTGCTGTCCTACGACGGTGGGGGCAACGATGGAGTCTTCAACGTCTTTCTGGCGAGAGGCACAGCAATTCTGCGGCTTGGAAGGCCAGTGAGACTGCCCGAACATGCAGATGCTGTGACAGGCCAGGACTTGTGGCGGATTGCTCGCAAGCCCCTGAACCTGGGAATCTCGGCTGCCAGAGTCTGATAGTTCAACCTGCTAAAGCTCGAGCCAAGTTTCCTGAACTGCCTGAGGAACTGGGTATCACCGGCTGGCCAGTTATTTACCGCAGGTGACGGGTGCAAGTGAGGTGGGGCTGGTGGCTTGCGCGGCCTTGGAGAAGGACTCTCCTTCCCTGCCTCTGGCAGTCTGGCCTATAGGCCTATAGGACCTAGGATTCGTGAGTTCGAACCCTTCGCGCGACAAGGAGGGTGATTGGATCGACCTGAAATACAGCTTCGGGGACACGCTGGCCCTGGGCTTTGCGGGCAAATTGATGGGCTTCTCCGGCCTGTCGGCCCCCAGCAAGGAGGCTGACCACGTCAAGAGAGAGAGAGAGAGAGAGAGAGAGAGAAAGATTGAGGATGGCAGCGCACTTGCAGGCTAGCGAGATACAGATGTCTCATATGTTCTTCATCACCCATGCACCCAGTACCAATGTGTATGAGCATGGAGACTTACGTCTAGGTGAGTCCTTGGATCCGGCGTTTCTACGAGCGCCTGGAGCATCGACAAAACGAGGCTCCCTCGGCAGGGCTGCGCTTTTTTTCTATGAGGCGACCGTGTTTCTTGATGGGTTTTCTGCTTGCAGCTGCATGGTCAGGTTCCCCGTGCCATGCTGGAGAAGATCTGCGAAGGGGACCGTACCGATGCATTCGAGATTTTCCGCAAGCTTATGAGAGAGAGATTCGGAGACGACTGTGGGCAGGAGACTGGTGCGCGAGAGGTCGCCGCCTCCATCCAGGAAGAGTTTGCTCACATCGTCCGCGAGGCGGACAGCTTCTGGTGCTCGAAGTTTCCGGAGAGGGGTGCAAGCTGTGCCGCGCAGGTGCTGGTGGACTACCTCGCAGAGCTGGAGCGCAAGAGGGTCAGTGTGGAGGGCATTGTGTTGACTGGCGGCTGTGCTTTGAATGTGGTGGTGAACCAGCAGGTGCGTGACACCCTGACTGAAGCGACATCAGAACGGCCAAATCCACTGAAGCCCCAGGACGTGTATGTGCCGCCAGCTCCTAACGACTCGGGGCTCACGGTCGGAGGGGTCTGGGCAGTGTCGCCACCAGCGGGGCCGAGACAGAAGCTGCAGTACCTTGGCTTCCCCCTTTTCGACAAAGAAGTCTTGCAGAGCGCAGCAGAAGAGCGCAAAGCCCAGCGCCTCTCTGCACTGGGCGGCGTGGACTTCTTGGCGCAGCTCCTTACCGGAAAGGAGAGCTCGGGCCGGAGGCCCCGGAGGCCCATCGTGGCCATCGTGCGGGGGCGGCAAGAGTTCGGGCCGCGGGCCTTGGGACACCGGTCTCTCCTGGCGGTGCCCGACTCGCCGGATCTGCGTGATCGGATGAACCGACTCAAGTTCCGGCAGTGGTACAGGCCGGTAGCGCCGATGATTGCAGAAGAGGGCCTCGAGGAGGTTTTCGGGCACAAGTACGTGTCTCCCTCCATGGAGTTCGCCCCGTTTGTGAGGGAGGAAGTGCGGGAGCGCTTCCCTGCGCTTGCGCACTTCGACGGCACAGCCCGGCATCAGTCGGTGAGCAAAGCAGATGAACCCTGGGCCGCTCGGGACGCAATTGATTCCACAGTGCTTCGCGCGATTTCGGCTGCTCTGAGGTTCATGCCCTCCTGCTAGCCGTCGGCAACCGGACTGGACTGCCTGCACTGATCAACACGAGCCTTGGGCTTTCAGTTGCCCTGCTCAGGCAAGCTGTCAGGAGGGGGTTGGCTCGTTTTGACGTGTGTGGCCTTGAGCAAAGGAGCTTCAACTCCCGTGGCAAACCAATCGTCAACACGGCATCATGGCTGAGAGCTGGAGATGCTGAGAACATCTGAGAACGTCTGCAAGCAAGCGCAGCACTCTTATTGCCAACTTCTTGCTAAGGTGGCGGAGTCCTTGAAGATGCTGGACGAGCTGGCCGACCTGGACTACTTGCTAATCGAGGACTGCTGCGGCTGTCGCCTGCCGATGCAGTGGCTGGAGCAAGGGAGCAAGGGCTACAGGGGGACCCTGACAAGGACTGGCTGTTCCGCGCCCCGGCAGGGTCTTGTCCTCAGATAGGACGAGGAATGCTGAAGTCTTGAGATGGTCGCCGCCCAGGAAGCCCGCCATCAGCAGCGAGATACCGAGAGCAGCGGTGGAATGGTTCTCTCCTCGCTGAGCTTTGAAAAGGGGTCTTGCACATGCTGGACTTCTTTTGTTCTGGGATTTGCGGACGGAGATCAGGGTCGAGGAGATTCACTCTTGCGGTCCGAGGAGTATTCGATGCTCTTTCACTTCGTCAGACTCGTGCCGAAAGACTCTCCGATCCAATCTATTCTACATTTCTACATGACCGACAAAATGGGAGCCTCCATTCCGTCCACGTCGACACAGTATCGATGCGTCAGTGCGAGCATGAGCTGCCGCACTGGTGCTTCACGTGGAAAGCGCAGACACCTTGTGTTTGAGCCAGGGGCCCACTGCAATCCACGCCCGCCTATCCACCGGACGGAAGCTGATCCGGCGCAGCCTCTGGGTGGAAGTGATATTCATATTTGTGTTCCCAGGAGATGATGCGGTTTGGCACACGCTGAGATTCCAAATCGGCATCGGACCCGCACATCTCAGAACAGCGTGTGTGCTAACAGGCTGAGTGTATCGAGCATGATGCAGTGATGCAACAGACTTTCGACGTGAGCTGATTGCAGCCAGTGCTCGGATTACCTTCGACGACATGTGTTCCACAGCATGCCAGGCTACTTTACGTTTAGCGGTGTTGGAATACCATCGAAGTCTTGTGACGTTGTTTGCGCAGTAGTGTTTCGAGCTGAGACAGGGCGACAGCAGCTGCAGCAACACAGCTGTAGTTTCCCCATGCATTGCTGTTCACATGCTCATGTAGACCAGAGATCTGGGCATCTTCGCCATGCGGGGACGTACGCTCTCACGTGACGGGCGTGATTCACGAGAGGGTAGCGTTTCTCGGCAGCATCTGCTCCCGTCGTGCACGATGGATCTCAAAGCTGAGCGATGGCTAAACCAAATAGCTTTGTTCGCTCTGCGAGCCTGACTCCTGCCTTCATGAAGCATGAGTCGCACCTGTCGGGGCCATGTGCCGCCTGCAGCTACTCGTAGCACGGAATCTCAGAAATAAGAGACATGTAAGTTCGTGATATTTGCTTGCGAGAGCTGGACCACACTTCTCGACTCTGCTGCAGATCTCCTACGCGTCGCTGATTCCGGACCGGCGAGAAGGGACGCTGTTGTAATTGCTGCTTGGGATGTGCAGAGTGTGTGCATGTGCCCTGCAACAGCTAGCTGGGCAATCGATTCGTAGCGCAAAGTCTGAATGGCTTGCAGACATCCGCAAACTGCTCTTAGGGGTACGCAGGACGACCTGCCCGCAAGCACCACTCAACGCAGGCAGGGTAATGTCAGCGTCAGGGCATTCTTGGATGATCTTCACCGCCCTCAGCTGTCCACCCTAGAGCCAGGGCTAAGAGTTTGAGAGTCTTCTTCAGGTGGAGATGTGGCTGTGCGTCTCGGCACATAGTTGGGCTTCGGGGCTCAAGCCGGCGGATGCTTGTACCCAAAAGTCGGGAAGTAGATTGCAATGTGAAGGTCACTGAGGCGCATTCGCAGGATTGGGCAGCTGAAAGTTCATTCGGAGCTCCCTCTGCATCCTGTAGCAACACCCTGCACGAGTCCAGCGACCACAGGGCGGGCCAGTGGATGGAAGGGATTCGGATACGGGCCATGGATCGGCCTCTCACGAATCGCAGTCCTCTTGAAGCTGCAGTCTGTGCATAGGTGCTGGCTGCCGCGACTCTCGGCGCCTCCATGGCGGGACTCGCAGCATCGGTGCGACTGAGCCACAGGGAGGCCCTCGCTTGACATCCGTCATGCTTGGGGTGGGGTGTCTCACCGTACTCGTCGCACTTGTGCAAGCTCGTCTCCAGTTCTCTGGATGTGCATGGCAGGCCTTGCTGGACAATCAGCTGGAGGAGCTGTTTGCGCAGCGTCCGCACCGGGCTCGAGCGGCTGAGGCCCTGGAGCAGGGTTTTCCCGGACTGAGGGTTCCAAGACGCCGTGAGATCGAAGTACGGCCTGTCTCCGCACGATCAAACTCGACTGCCGACCGCCAGGCTCTGCGGCGAAGCCTGGCAGACCTGCCCTCGAACTCCTCAGGTGGACAGCCGATCACAGGTTGGGGTGGGACTGGGACTGCGCAATTGAAAAACCCTTCAACCCTGCCAGCCTTGATGACGCGGACGAGCCTGAAGAAGGACACGCGGGGATGCTATGGGACCGCAGGAAGGCTGAATGAGAAAGACAAAAAATCCTGAACGAAGGACGAGGAGAAGCTTGGGAACGAGCTTTGGTCCGACCTGGCACCCAGCTCCGGTTTTCTGAGGCCGCATGGAAGTGCAGTGGCCCTCCTCCACCTTCTTTCCTTTCATCCGCTTCGACTCGGTGTGAGGCCCTTCTCCGACCCGAACTCAACTTGGACGCCGGTGCTCCGACCCTTGGTTGCATTTTGCTGCTGTGGTTGCTGTGGTTCTGGGAGGACAGGGAACGTGTGCAGCGCAGCTAGTGCCGCTGTTCGTCGCTGACGACTCGGAAAAGAGCAGGAAGGGCAAAGAAGGCATGTCAAAGGCTCACATTCTTGTCCTTCCTGCGGGAAGTGTACGCTCTTTCGCGGAACAGGTGTGTACATCAGCGACAGCCAGTCCTGCTGCTGTCATGTAGGTTGTAGTGTTGGCCGACGAGAGCATCACGCGCCCGGGATTTGTTCCATGCCAGATTCGAGCTGCTGTTGGGGCCATGAGTGATTCTCCAATGCATAAACCCTCGTCTCCGAGGAGCCTGGCATGGATTCAAGGCCAAGGGAACGGAGCTGTTCGTCTTAGTTTCGTCGCCTGCATGCAGTGAGGGCTCGTGCAAGCTTCCTTGTTTGGACGACTCAGTGTCTGTGCGTGTGAAGCAATAGAAGCAATGTACTCGCAGCCGGGTTCAGCAAACGGCTCATGGTTTTCCGAGCCTGGCGCGACAGGGATATCGGGATATGATATGATAGAACCAACTCCATCTCTCCTTGCCTCAAGCTGGGTCTGACAGGAAGTGCCTCACGTGACGTTCCAGCAAGATGTGAAGCTTTCGCCCTGTGTCTGAGGATATTCATCACCGGAGCTGGACTCAGCGAATTCTTCCCGCTTCTGAACGTCGTCCAGGCACTCAGGGGTCGAAGCTCGGGAGCTTACACTGGTTGCTTATTGGTGAAGTGTCTGTGTGCACTGCTGCGACCTTTGCTGCATAGCTTTTGGGAATGACAAATAGCGGTAACCCCAGACGCACACCAGAGCCAAACTCCCTAAACCCGCACCAGGATGGGCATGCTTATAACTATCGCCTTCGTTGTCATCACCCTCATCACCATCATCACCATCACGACCACCTCCGTCATTGCGCTCATCCTCGTTTTCATCCCCACCCTCCTCGTAGTCGGGAGACGCTGTCGCCTCTGCTGGCAGCACCACTCTGCCAGGGCTTCCCTTGGCCGAGCTGGTTTGGTTGGCCGCCGGGCAGCGGTTCCAAACTGTGAGGGTCATTTGTTTTCGGGCTGAAGCTCGTGCCTTCCCAGGTTCTTCGACCTTCTCTGGTGGCTTTTCCGAATCGATGTCAACGGACACGTGCCAGCACACTCATGCCGCAGTCTCTGCTCTTGTCTTAAGTTTCTCTCAAGATTCAGCCTCATGCAGGACCCAAGTGGAAGCCACCAGTGAAGGGCGAGAAGATGGGAGCTGTGTCCTTTCATAAGTGACTTGGCAAAGAGACCTCCATAGGGCTTGGAAAGCCAATGAATCCAGAAATTAAAAGGTCTTGATTTGATTGTTGGGTCTTGGCCAGTTTTGAACCTTCGGAGGATGTATGGGAGAAAGGTTATGCTTCTCAAAGAAAGAGATCAGTCCTGATTTGATTGAGGCCGGCTGGCTACATTGCGCAGAATATTGCTCAAATACATACAGAATTCTCTGCTCAATCACGTTCGAGTCTTGCAGGATACCTACCCACGTAAATCACGATTGATTTAGCAGTGAGGTTGGCCGATGAACGTTGGGATGTGAAACTTCCCAGCTTCTTCCAAGACTATGTAACTGGCGAGCGCGTCCCTTCCTGGGAGGCCCTTCCGTGAAGCCAACGTTTGGGTGTTCAGTAGTTTAGGCATGGTGATCTGACACCCAGTTTTGAAGCGTGAAGACAGGACCACTTCCGTCACGCCACGGGTATCAAGATCATTGATTTCCTGGTCAGCTCCATGCGCGCCTTCGGCTTCGAGCCGACGCCTGGCTTGCACAGCTCCCAGGCCTTCCGGGCCTCCCTGGACGGGGCTTCGCTGCTCCCAGGATCGAGATGCTCCGTGCCACGGAGCCCCGCTTCGCCTTCGACTCGGAGGGCCTCACGGAACTCGCTTGGTGCGCCCGATCCCAGCCTTTCGACGGTCGCTTCTCTAGAAAGACGGCAGGCGTGGCTTTCGCCAGTTCGGCCCGACGGACATCAAGTTTGCGTCGAATGGCGTGCCCTGCCGCGTGTTACGCTGGTATGCTCCTCTGCAGTGCTACCTCCGCTGCTTCGGTCCGAGGTTTGGGGCATCAAGCTGGTGGAGGATCTCATGGAGAAGTACGGCACCAAGGGTGAGGTTTTAGGCGGGAGTGGGGGGGGGGGGGGGGGGGGCGCGTGAAGAGCGTCAGTCGGGCGACTTCAAGAGCCACCGGAGCCGGAAGGCCCCTTGATGACCGACTCGGCCTTCTCAGCTCACCTCACTTACGACGGAGAACTCTATCACATCGATGCTCTTCGCAAAGGGTGCTCAGCCGTTGCGTGCCGTTGCTCGTATCTTGACCCTCAAGGACATGTCGGCCCTGGAGCCCTACGAGCCCATCCCCGGCTACGCGCGGCTGGGTGGCCGTGCCGCCTTCAGGGCCGAGAAGGGACGGTGCGCCTCGGGCCTGGGAGTGGGCCTGGGAGTGGGCTCTGACAGGAATTGCTTGAAGGGGAGGTGGCGGCACTCCTCAAGATTTTGGGAATGCTTGGCAGGCTGAAAGCCGTCTTCATGTCCTACAACGGCAGCAACTACACGGACTTCGAGGTGCGGGATTGGATCTTCTCCCTTGCTTCCTTGCTTCTCTGCGGGGTCTCAGGATCCTCACTCGGATGAGATGTACTCGAAGTCGATTCGCTACGGCTGGCGGATGGCGGAGGTGGCGCTCTTGAGCCGTCTTGCAAGATTTTTGCGAGAGGGGGAGTTTGGGATAAGGTTGGCTGCCGTTCGAATCAGATGTCTTAGGCTCCAGGTTGAAGTGCTTTGCCGTGATTCATGGCTCCGCTCTTTTTGAGGCATAGGCTGCTGGCTTCAGCTCGTGGAATCATGGGCTTACTCTTTCGCCGGAGCTGACCAGACACACTCTCGTAGTCCGTGACAGTTCGAGGCTCAATAGCAAGACATGCCGAGTTGTGGAGGCTTCCATCATTGCTTCCCTGCTGTCGATGACGAACCTGATCCTCCATGCCCATCGGCATCTACAGAATGTCTCGCAGGAGGGTTCCGCACTCGATGGCGCATCGCATCCTTCCGCGAGATGCCTGTATGCCTGTATGCGTCGCGAATCAACGCCAGCAGCCGACCGGTGCCCGAAACTTTCTCGGGCTCTCTGTGCTCTGTGCCGAGGTGAAGGATCTCCATCTCGAGCTTTCAGCCAGCTTCCAGGCTCGGAAATTTTGGGAGTTCGAGGGGTCTCGGCATCGGACTTCCGCCTCTGCTTGTGGATTGGGGAAGTCGATTGTTCATGCGCATCGCGCCATGGCGCAGCACCGCACAGCTATCCTGGAGATGTCACGTCCATTGCCTGCGAATCATGCGAGCCTTCATCGGTCACCGCTGCTTTCTTGGCGTTTGCCTTCTGCCTTTACTGCGGAGGGTACTGCAGCAGCACTTCCAAAGGAGGGTACATGATGCTGCATGGTTTCCTCGCAGCATCGGCCCCTCCCACGCGAATGATGCCATGACTGTCAAGTCTGTACAGATCAGAACAGGTTTGCCGGAGTCTGAACAGGCACGAACTTGGAAGGCTCGGTGGCTAGGCCCCACTCCCTGGAGCAAGGTGATAACCGTCGATGCCTTCGCCAAGAATCCGACGTGCCCTGGAATGGCAAGAGAAAGCTTGGGCTGCAGGATCGAGGCTAAAGAGTCGCTTTTGGTCTGTTTCCGTGAAGTCTACACTGTCGGAGCTCTCAGCGGTCCAAGCGATCTGCAAATCCAAAGCTGTGAAACCGAAAAACCGTGATTCTGTGGCTAAGGGCTTGTCCCTGCATCCCATCAGTCCCATGGAAATTCTTGTGGTTACCAAGGCACCCGATTCGCCGGATGCTAGATCCTTTCATCAGCCGCAGCGTACAAGCCACCAACGACAACTTCAAGCTTCTTTTTGTGGCTGGCCTCGGGCATTCAGCTTCGCTTTTTGTTGCGTTTGTGGGCTTTGGTGGCCTCCCAGAGATTTTTGCCTGGCAAGGAGTACAAAGCAGCTGATTTCAGCTTGGCGCCGCTGCCGACCTCGGAGCAGCTGAAGCTGATCGAGGATTTCATCGCCGCTTTGCCCGACAGCTTCCGTTCTCTTCTTTTCAAAGGGTGCCGAGCTGTTGCTAGTTCGTAGAATGTCGTAGAACTCAAGTCACCGCTTCTGAGGAAACCCGTCCTCTGAACTTGGCGGACATGGACATGACGCGCTATGGCACACTTCGTGGGATGAACGCCAGTGTGTCCTCCAAGGAGGCAGTGTGCCCCGAGTTGTAGCGAGACTCCAATTCGTGCTAATCCCCTCCAGCTATGTCTTCAGGGTGCAGCAACGCATCGCCCTTGGCCGTTCCTGCCCGCCTTAGTAGAAGAGGCCGTGGATGACCCGGACGTTTGGAGCTGGCGGTGGCATTACCGAGCCCTCACCGTATCGTGGCTGGGGAAGGGGTGTGCAGACCATTATTCTTGTGGTTCTCAGATGGTTTTGCAGGTGCACACAGCGCACATGAGACTTCCTTCTTGCTAGGTGCAGAATCTTTACGACGAGCTGCTCCAGTGCTGGCTTGATGTTCACTTCCCAGGCAGGGGCACGCTGCTTCTGCTTCACTGCTGAGTGTTCTTGGAAGTTCTCTTCTCGAAGGCAGTGCCGAGGAGCAGGACCGGCAGATACGCGAGGAGCGGCGGGGCGGGATGCGCTGCTCTCTCCAACCTTTACCTGTTACCAGGACCCGGATATCCAACACTGGTGGTCAGTCATGGTGAGGCAATGGAATTATCGTGTGCCTGAAAACCGAAGTCTTAACAAATTTACTAAAGGCAAGCAACCCAGACATGCAGCCAGCAAAGCTATGAGAAGGTTCCGCACTCCTGAAGCCGTAGCGAGTCTGAAGCAGTAGTGAAACCCCAAACACAACCAATAAAGACACCCGAGATTTGCGGCCAGCAAAGCTATGCGAAGGTTGCGTATTCCTGAAGCCGTAGCAAGTCAGACGCCGGCAAAGTGGCCAGGCAACTGCGCCCCCTGCGCCGTGCCATCGGTACAGCCCCGGACTTCGCAACGGCCGCACCGACAAGCCGAGGTGTCTAAGGGAATTTTGAGAGAAGCGTGCACGCCAGGGCTCGAAAGCTTGTTGCAAGTCTCGGCTCTCGTTTTTACAGAGAGTTTCTTGGGTTCTGGTTGTTTTGGGTAGGCTTTTGCTTGCAACTCTGTTCTTCTTCTGGCAGGGTTGACTGTATTGATTGGTTCTGGTGTTTCTAGACAAGCTGTCCACTGCGTTCAGCGAGCTGCTGCTCCCGGCTGCGAGGTCTGCGGCAGACTCTCCGCACGATCCTGGTCTGGGTGTCGTGGAGCCTCGATGTGTAGTGGGAGCGCATCGATATGCGTCATTGTATACGGAAGACAATCTCCGACCGCTTCCCGTAAGTGCACAGGATTCACGAGGACGTGGGGCACTCTGCGGCATCCTACGTCTACAACCCCGTGTATACGCCGATGTGTGCACCCGGCTCAGCTGTCGTCTGGAGCAGTTCTCCGACTCTTCCCTGCAAAGCTCAGGTGCCAGAGGATGGTTTGGGTGTTCCCGTGATTTCCTTCGCCTGGACCCGTGCTTGCAGATTGGAGTTGGCAAGGCTGTTGTTTTGGTGGCCTGTGACTTTCATTTGAGTGTGACTTCTTTTTTTGGCGCTGATGTGCGTCTTTTTTCTGTCATTCTGTTAGTCTTGAAGCGTGCGCCCGAAACTGCCTGATTGGCCTGTTGGGAGGGTTTGTTTGTGTCTCTTATTTCACAGGGATTCCGCAAAGCCATGTCCAAAGTGTGCAAAGGAGCAGAGGCGCAGAAAGACGCCGATCACCCAACAAGAAAAGACACCTTTCAACCAGAATGAAATAAGACAGGGACCACCCAAAACCGGAGGAAAACTTGTGGCATTCGCAACTTCGAGTTGAAAGCTTATTTAGCCTGTAAGCTGACGAGGAACACGGCGGCCTACCGCGGCTTTGTCTTCCTCGAGAGGGCGACTCTCCTGGAGGACGAGCTCTGAGCCGCTGCCCCAGGAGGGCCTCGAAATCGTCTTAGAGCGCAGCTTTTGAGGACCCTCCGGGCTTCTGGTTCGACTCCGTGGAATGTCAAGGCAGGGCCTGGTTCCCCACTTTGCTCTGCATGAGGAGCTTGCGTGCTCGGTGCACTGAACAGCTTGAAGCTGCGTCCAAGGGCTCTGGTGGTGGCGACATTGTGCAGCGCCCAGTGGAGACAAGTCCCTGGGCTGCTTCACCCGCTTCCAGGAGAAGTTGCATCTCGGCCCATGCTAGAAACCTCGCGCTTGCCAAAGCTTGATCAATGCATCGATGCATCGCAGCCAAGGCGGAAGCTCGGAGAGGAGGACAAGGTGCATTGGCCGCTGCATTGCCAGCCGTTCGACTTGAGCCTGCCCAGACCCCCTGGCTGTATCCGAACCACATCAGCGAAATTCGGCCAGGCCTTCTCCGAATGTGAGAAGAACGGCTTCTACAGTTGTGCCGGGCGGGTTGAGACGGCGGTTTCCAGCTGAGGGTGCAGCAGATGCCTGCGCCGGATGACGCGCCGAAGATTCTGATGCCCTGGATTGAACTTCTGCTTGGCTAGACACTCACACAGCAAAGTGCTTAAAGCACGCGAAGAAGTCCAGTCTGTTCGCTTTGTGTTTCTCAGCGAACGTCTACAAGCACGTCCAAAGTCGGCGTGCTGTTTCAAGTTTCCGAGAGACGCTGGTGTCTTTTGGTGTAGTTAGTAGTTGCTGCGATATGCCTAAAGGTTCAGTGCGCACGAGTGCGAAGATGTCGGATTGACATTGGCGGCACGAGCCACCAGAAGCAGTACGCAGGTAGGCATAGGCATACTTGCTAACAAGCACTGCAGACCCCACGAAAAAGGTCCGGGCGCGTCCGGGCATGGCTACACAGTTGCGAAGGAGTATCATGTCAGATCATGAAAGGATATGTCAGGCCACGGCCACAGGTGCAAGATGGAATCCAGGAATACGAAGGCAGACATTGCCACAGGTTTCTTGTCTGTAAGGCTATGCATTCGGCTCTCGCATCTTATGGCCGACTGGCCTGGAGTGATGTTCTTACACAACTACTCCCCAACAGCTTGGGTGCATCCGCCGCTCCTAGTTGGCCCGAAGCAGAGCACATGATTGGGCACCAGTGGTGCCATGCTACTTAGCAAGAAACGCGCCAGTGAAGTCTGCCGGCGAGGCTTGTTCCGTGCAGCTACAGGCCTGCTTATAAACTTTCTGGCAAGCGTATAAGATTCCAGTCAGAGAGTTTAGGCCCTTCACCCCCAAACTCTGGGCAGGCCTGGCTGTTCTTTCGAGGGGCGGCCGCGTCTGGTCGGCTGATGACGCAAAAGAGGCAATCCAGGAGATGTCCGCATCCAGCCGCATGTGGCTGTCTTCGGCACGGGAAGTTTCGTAGGGCCTCGTGGGGTTTGTGTCCCTCAGGAGACGCAGCAAGTCAAGCAGGTGGACGTGTTTGTTAGCCACTCCTGGTCCGCAGACCGCTGGGAGAAGCATCTGGCCATGTGCTTTTATCTGAACCTTTGGATGGCATCCAAGGCTCTTGCTGTAAGTGCAGTTGTTTCACAGTTCGTTGTGGCCTTCCTCCCGGAGCAAAGCATTGACATGACGTACATGATTCTCATGGATCTGCCGGTGCTGATTTTTCTTACATTTTTCTTTTTCGGCCAGCATCTGACATGCGGATGCTTGTGCCCCAGCATTTGGGTGGACAAGCTGTGTGTTGACCAGACCAACGAGAGCACTAAGTGGCAGGGCATTGCAGAGCTGCCCGCGATTGTTGCGTGCTCTGACCAGTTCCTCGTGTTGTGGAGCGAGTCCTACTTTGAAAGACACTCGGACCTGTTTCAAAAGGTAGCCAGCTAGCCGCCAGAGTAGTGCTGTGGTCAGTCTGGTCAGTTTAGATACGGTAGGTCCATGGGGAGATTGTGTTTATTATGTATAAAGGCTCCAGGTCACATCCCATTGCTCGTTCTCTGCAGTTTGGAAGGCTGTCTGCAGAGGCCAATTCAGGCCATGGTAATATAAACACGTATTTAGGAAAGCCCAAAGCACAAAGAAGGACTCTGGTGCAACTTCGAACTGTCCATCTTTGTGAAGCTCTGCGGGGTTGGGAAGATCCGGTGTGTGCCTTTGTGGATGGCACCCTGGCTCCTGATCACCATCGCCTTGTCTTGGTTCGGAAGTCGGATGGACTCCATTGTACTCGACAGCGATCCCGAGGCTTTCACCGTGGTGTTGAGCTATGGTGCCCAAGACGATGCACTCGAGTATGCGATGAGCCGTACGATGGAATATGTGGCAGAGGCCCCTCTCTTTGCGGTGACTCTGCTCCCGAACCTGATCGTCAGCGCAATTTCCTTCAGAATGAAGTTAGAGAGGCATGAGACCATGCTGAAGCACATGGAGACCTTTGATATAAGAGCTGCAAAATGCTCGCTTGAGGAAGACCGCGACAATATCGAGCAGAGGGTTGCGGAGCTCTTCGACGGCATCGATGATCCAACGATTTCTGTGGCTCTTGACTCGGCGGGCTCGCGCGCAGGCGGACCAAGCGAAATGGTGACTGAGACAGAGACCACAGCTGCCGTGCCACATGACAGCAGACCTGCGATACGTGCCGTCACCAGCTACCTTGGTCACGAGGACTCTCTCGATGCTTTTAATGCCTTTGTGCGGCATCAGCTTCGCTCCGTGATCACAGCCGACTTGGGTCTTGAGACAGACTTCCCCTGGCTCGTGTCACTTCTCAGCTTCTTTCCTGCATTCCTCGATTTCACAGCGCAGATTTGGTGTGGCAGGGTATTTCGTGACAAGGCTGGCTTTGCTTCCGAGGGGCAATATTTCGCGATCAGCTTTGTGACGGCTTTCCTGGCACTCTTCTTGAATTTTCCGTTAAGCCCCCCTTGCTTCCTCCTCGTCATGAAGTGGGTGGTTGCAAGAACGTCCCCAGGATTTCTGCGGCACTTGCTTGCCTTGACCTGTGGCTTTGTCTTGAACATAGCTTTGTGTGCCATGTACGGATCGATGATCGGAATGCTTGAAAGTTTCGTCATCACAGGCCAGGTTGAACTGCTGGCCTTCTTCTTGTTAATGCTATCCATCCACTTGTTTTGCAACTATGCCCTTTATGGGCATGACGTTGTAATCTTCGGTCGCTTGCGTCTGTCCCATAGGGGACTTCGACGCGAAGAGTGTGAGAGTCTTATGTAAAGGCAGCGGAAAGAACAGTCTAGAGGCATCGCACTGCATTTTTCGTCGGTTTGAGATGTCTGTGAGGGCTTCGGGGATTCAGGATTCATGGCTTTAGGCCGGGGCCGTGGGCTTGCTGGCCTGAGGCCCTCATTCAAGGCGCTGGGGGCGCGGCTTGTAGCGATCACCGAGTCCAGGAAGCACTCTCCAGTGCCTAGGGGGCTCAAGCGAACGTTGCCCACACCTAGTCGTCAATGGGTTCACCTGAGGGCCGCAGTCTCCAATGCAAACGCTCAAGTATACACGAACTAGCGCGAGTAGGAAGAACAACACTAGCGATAGGAACCGGCAAGCAGCATGTTCCATGGAGCCATGGACACCGGTGCAGTCGACCTTCCCCAGGGCTTCAGCTCAGCGGAGTCTGCACGCTAGGCGGAGGCAGACTTCGAGGTGTTGTTGGGCGGTGGGCTGCGCTGGGCGGTTGTATCTATCATCATCCTGCAATTCCTTTCAGTGCACATTGCTGCTGTCATGGTTGTGTCATGGTTTTGACAGGCCCGCGCCTCGGACTTCCGAGGAGCCGGAGGCACGCGGGCCTTCAGTGAGCTTCGAAAGTTGGGTGAGTGGCCGGGAATCATGGAAGGTCGATGACAAGTAGGATCCTTGGTAAGAGGCTCCATGCAGGCTGCATCAAAGCCAAACCCCAGTCACACTCTCAAGCCCACTCCCCTTGTCAAGATCGTCTGCGCTTTCCCCCCTTGTTAGCCAGCGCTGTCGAGACCAGGTTCGATTGCCTCAACTCCTTTCGTCTGAAGGGGCCCTGAGCTCTGGAATCACCTGGCCCCAAAAAGCCGCAATCTCTAGCAGTTCTACAAGTAGATCCGACAAGATCCTACGAGACCTAAAGCCCTGAAGCTTAAAGTGAGTTCTGCACCAGATCGTACTATTTGCATCTGAATCGAAGGTCCCTGGCTTCTTTGCCGTCGTCAAGGCCTTTCATCAGCGGTGTCTCTTGTGATGTGTACTTGGAGATTCAGGATTGTGGGCGAGAGGATCCTAGCTCGGTTCGAGGCTCGCACAGGATCGATTCAAGGCTCAATGGGTCAAAGGCATTCTACAAGCATTCTGAACCGAAGAAATCTTCAGCCGCTGTGCAGTGAACCTCTGGAAAGCAATGAATATTTTTTGCACTCGCGCCCTCGCTTCCAGAGCCATGCCAGGAATTGAATCGCTATAAGGCTCAGGGACGCTGGCCACGGGACCCAGCCGTTTCCAGCTCTTGGCTTCCAGCTTTGTGAGTTCAGGTTTGACCCCGGGGGGGGCAGGTTTGACCGGGAGAAAAGTAGAGAGAATGACCGGCTTCCAGAGCCGTCGGGACGGCAACGCAGTCCTTGCTTTTCCCAGCGTTCCTCTTGCCTGCAATCTCAGGCGTGAGGCCGTGGCTCTGCTGCTGAAAGCGCGGCAGGAAGGCAGGAAGCGACATTAGATCTCAAAGTCTTCGTCTTGACAGCATTTGAGATTGAGGGAGGCACTTTCGGAATCGGAGAAAAGGCCTCGCTATTGACTCTATTGCAAGTGCTGCCGATTGCAGCGGAGGTTTTACTCACAATGCCGTCGCGACGCATGCCGCTTTGGCTGTGACCTGGCGAAGAGCGCGTGACACGTCTAAGTCCCGGCACTCTGAGGCACAGTTGAGGAGTCCCCTCTCCATCCTTTGGCCTTACTGGTATGGCTGCTTCTGGATCTTGTCTTAGCGAGCTTCCAAAACTTGTAACTCTCAACCACCAGAGCCCGAAACAAAAACTGTTGGCGAGACCAAAACATCCGAAGATCGCCAAGCGCGAAACCTCACATCATTCCCCAAAACCACTCCTCCTGCCATTTCCAAGGCTTCCGTGGTCTCGCGCGACGCGCAGCAGGGCCGAGGAAACCGATCGGGGCCACCCCAAAATCTCCTAAACACTGGAGGACATCGGGTTCCAAGAATTCCGGAAGAAGAATACAGTTTGCTCCACTTCGCATGCAGTTGCTTTTGAGGGTGAGGTGGCCTGCTTCGGACCACTACGATGTGTTCGGCTGAATTGCACTGGGGCCTGACGTGGTCCACGTCTTCACAAACAGCCAGTCATGCGGCAAATGGCACCTTCTCGTCTCTTGTGATCCACCCTTTCTCCGCACCCTGGACGCTGTATCGTTCCAAGCCGGGCGTGACGAGCTGAGCCGCAGACACTTTATCTGCTTGCAGCAATGCTTCCTCTACTTCCAACACATCCGAGAGTCTGAAAAATGGTGTAAATCCC